TATATATATATATATATATATATAAAATTTTGTTTTAGATTATAGTATTCTGTATAAATCAAAAATAATAAAATATATATGTAATACGCGCTATTTATTAATACTAAATACTAAATTTAAAGTGATCTCATCCATTTTCCATATTTTATTTCTTTTTTTTTGTTCGTTTTATATTTATATTTTACAATTTCACAATTTAACCAGCTATAATGTGTAACGTGTTATTCGTTTTATACTGTAAATAAACATTTCTGGTTTTGTTAGGTTAAAATGCAAATACATTTAATTTAAAGTGATCTCATCCTTTTTCCATTTTTTATTTCTTGTTTTTTTTGTGTGTTCTTTTTATATTTATATTTTTACAGTTTCCCAGTTTAACCAATGAGTAACGTGTTATTAGTTTTATACTGTAAATAAACATTTGTGTTTTTGTTGTTGTTTTTGCATATTTGTTTATATGCAAATATTTATTAAAATATTTATTTAATATTTTATTCATTTATTTATTAAAATATTTATTTTAAAATAAAATAAACTAAAAGTTAATTACTAGAAAAAAAGGAAATGATGCAAGGCCAAGCTACGGTACTTTTACATTGAAATGTGGTCGAGTATTAGCGCGTTTATTGCTGCTGTGTATTGCATCTGGCTTCACGGTCCGCGGCTGCTGCTGCTGCTGTGTGTGTGTCTGGCGGAGGAGCGCGGAGAACATGGCAGACGGAGCTGTTGTGGATGGAGAGAAACTCAGCAAAAAGTACCCACATTTATAGCATTACAGCGCTTAAACTGATTCTGTGCTATATAACACTTAAGATAAGTTTGCATGTGTGTATTATGTGGCTTATCGCGTCCGTTATGATATATGAGATCGATGGGGGGAAATGCATGCCGGGCAACGTGGTTGGATATCCGTGCCTCTGCTCGTTTCAAAGAACCTTTCAAAAATAAGATTCAGCGATTATTCTACGTCGTGTCTTCGTAGGCTTATCTTATGGTAGCTTCTCTGCCCTTAGGCTATTAAAGTAACTTATTTTCTCGGTATTTACTCGGTCGACTCTAAATGGTTTCACTATCGGTTCTCGGATCATCTCCGCTCTGACGAATTCAGAATACCAATACTAAGTTACTCTTTCAATTTCTGCCATATCTTTATAGGCCTGTCTCATAAATAAAAAGCTTAGTATGCCTAAGCTGTTCCGAATTCAGCGAATTCCGTTTTTATTTTTGAACCGATTCGAATGATTCAGTGAATCGTTCCGACTCAAACGAACGAATCATTCAGAGTCAGGTGTGTAGCCCATGTACTATTGTAACATCATGTTTAGGCCGCACATACATTGTTGAGAGTCATTGTCATAATGCACTGTGATTCAGTTGTACATTCCTGTTGTACTTTCACTATTGCAAAAGGATATTATGATTCTCAACTCAACAGCTGGATTTTTAGGTGATTTAATAACTTGCTGGTCAAAATTGGACTTCCTATAATGATTTCATCAATTTTTGGCGAATTTAAGCCATAAAAACAAACATTGCCCCCCAAAAAATCTGATTTGTATGATTCTTGGGACCAATTGTAAATTATTTATAGTTCAATTAAGAAATCTAAACATCTGTTTTGGGTGAAATAACGTTTAAATAAATCAATAAAATGTAATGGGTAAAGTGTGCAAGTGCAATGTCTGTCCTTTGGTAGTCTTTTTCCTTAAAAGTAATAAAAGTCGCAGTTCAATATTGAAAATTAGGCTTTGCATATCACAAATTGCTTAATTTATTTGTATACTGAAACACATTTTTCCAATTCATCCCAGTCACAAAATCTATACTAAACAATATGCCTCTAAACTCTAAAATTTTTATATCGGTTGACGTTGTAAATATACAGTAATTGGTAGCTGTGCCTTCTGATTAAAAGCAGATAATTTATTGGAAATTGCCTGTTTTGACTGCTCATGAAACCAACGCCCCTTTAAAATTTGTTCAGAGAAAAAGGAACAAAGATGGCATTGTATTATTTCACAATTTGTTTAATATAATATATGCTTCTTTTTAATTTTTGTGCAGCAGACAATATATGCATTAAAGAGTTAAGCAGTTAGAATGAGTGCGAGAAAAAATACAGCTTTTTTCATGTTCAGTTGGACTTCTTTAATCCTTCAACAAAAAGGAACTTAAACTGTTATGGTTCTGTTGCTTATTAATATATGATAATTCCTAATGTGCCATAATGATGTGCACAGTAGGTATTATGTCAGTCTTACAGCAATCTACTTTATTGTGTCAGTTTGCAATAATGTGTTGTCAGATTTGGAAAGTCTCCACTGGATGTGATGATAAAAAATGAGCTACTTCTGACATATTTGTACAATTTATTACAAAAATCATGTATTTTGCTTTAGTTGGAACATTTTTACTCTTGCAGCTTTTTCTTTTTCTTTTCTGTAAATGTGCTGCTATGTATCAATAAAAATAGGTTAAAGAAAAATAACTCCAGACTTGTTCTTTTGTTCTGTTCTATCATGCATTGACCTTTGTTTCTGGAAATGGCTGTGAACATCGGCATAAAAG